GTTAGGTTAATGTTATGTTTGATTGGTTATAGGATTGGCATAACAACAAAACAGGTCAGAAAACTAAACCTAATCTAACATTACGACTAACAATATTACATAACAACCAAATAATACTTTCTGTTTAATCAATACAATAGTTTTTAACGTAAATTACGAAATGAAAGTATTTAAACTGCAATTTTTACAACTTATTTAATTTTAATCATTGTTATAAACCGGACTTTAAAACATTAATTGCAATCACAAACTATGTGTATATAAAGAACGGTGAAAATGAGATCAAATAACACTGTATTCAACGCTGTATTGCATTAGTAATTGAGAATTGGGGGCAAAAGGGGTTCAAAACAGTGATTAATTAGTAACAGTAGTTGTGATAAGTTTTAGAGTAAATAAATAAAAGTTACGTAAAAATAGTAATAAATGAGTGAAAAAATAGTGAAATTGATGTCATATTTAAAGCATTGATTGAATGAATATATGTTTTCTGTGTTTTGCAAACCATTTGTTCAAAAGTGACTTCAATTTAATGAACAGATGTTTACATATGTTTGGCATTAAAACAATGAAACGCCTCATAACTAGTGCTTTGAGCGCCGATATTGTGTGTGTCTATTGATTGGTGGATCAGATTAGTGGCCGACAACATGTTTAGCCTATTGTCGACGGCCATCAACAGCACGATGGAAGTGTTGGCGCCGACCATTGCCGCCGAAGACCAGCTCCTGTGGCACTGGAATCAAGTGATGGCCGTTTACGAGTCGGAGGACAAGTCACGGCTCGCCGGACCCATTGAAGCCACAAATATTGGCCAACATTTGTGCAAAATGTGTGACATCTTATGCGAAGAGCAGATCCACGAGTTGGAGACCATAGGAGGCGATGGGGAGCCGAAAGCGGACTCCGGTCTCAATGGTTCGCCGATCGGACCGTCGATGGAGTTGTTATTTCAACACAAGATTTTGGACACAATGAGTAAATTGTCGCAAACGGACACTCCGTTAGGTCTGACGCAACACATCCTCCACTTCTACACAACACTCATCTCCAACTCATCGCTTGAATTACTGCCCCATAAATGTGTCTACAATTCTGTCCAGAAGTTGATCATCAATTGCGGTAAACTGATGGCCGGTCCGTACGAGTCGACTGAAATGCAGTTCTTGAGCTGCATTTGCGATCAAATCAATCGAACTCCGGATCTAATCAACTGTTTTCTAAGTGATTCGTTTCCATTGATAACCGCATTGTTGGCATTACTTCAGAGTCCAGACCAAGAGATATCGACAAAGAGTGGCGACGCTCTCATCAGACTCTTGTCCGCTGTGAACGATAAGGCCGAAGAGATTATCACATCTCAGACACCGTTCTGCAGCAAAATAGTGGACCAAATGGTGACACTCTATCAGGCGATTCCGCGGTTCTTAAGGCCGGAACAGTTGGAAAGCGCTGTCGATTGTTGTTTCAAAAGCGGTGACTCCGAAAACGGGACCAGTTTTGAGTCCTTTTCACCGGCGGTCCGAAAGTTCCTCTGTTTTCTTCGATGGTTTGTTTTTTACGATATGATTATCAATAATTTGCCCGCAAGTGATGGTCTGTTAACGAAGACACTATTGGATCAGTTAAAGAGTGATTTCCTCGAGTCATGCATTTGTCCAGATTTACTGGGAATCGGATATAGAGAGGAATCCGATGCAAACGAACACATCTTCTTAACCACTGTTTTATTATCTAATTGTTTGCGAAACACTGTTAGCGAACGGCTGTCCATAACTATCGGCGAGTTTCTGTTAATCGACACCAAAACTGATTCATTGATTGAAAATAAAAAATATAGTGAATTGAGAAACAATTTGAAAAACATTTTGTTAGAGCGATGTCTACTTATTGAACCAAACGCTGGCCATCAGGTGATCGATGCCAATCGGATCCAATTGTGTATGTCATCCATGCAATTGTTTGAAGACATTCTCATTAAGCCATCGGTGTCTATATTAAACGAATTGATTGTCCAACACTTGGCTGACAGGACTTATTTCGATGAGACAGTGCTCACCAGTGATCCCAATCTCGACTCTAATGAGTTCCAGCACTTGACCTCTCATTCTAGTGTCGACTCCGAAGAAGTATTAAACGGTTTTAGAAATAGTTTTAATTATGTGTCCACTTCTCACGTGCAACGAGTTCTGCAATACTTCACATCATTAGTTCCCGAACGATGCAAACGAACACATCTTCTTAACCACTGTTTTATTATCTAATTGTTTGCGAAACACTGTTAGCGAACGGCTGTCCATAACTATCGGCGAGTTTCTGTTAATCGACACCAAAACTGATTCATTGGTTGAAAATAAAAAATATAGTGAATTGAGAAACAATTTGAAAAACATTTTGTTAGAGCGATGTCTACTTATTGAACCAAACGCTGGCCATCAGGTGATTGATGCCAATCGGATCCAATTGTGTATGTCATCCATGCAATTGTTTGAAGACATTCTCATTAAGCCATCGGTTTCTATATTAAACGAATTGATTGTCCAACACTTGGCTGACAGGACTTATTTCGATGAGACAGTGCTCACCAGTGATCCCAATCTCGACTCTAATGAGTTCAAGCACTTGACCTCTCATTCTAGTGTCGACTCCGAAGAAGTATTAAACGGTTTTAGAAATAGTTTTAATTATGTGTCCACTTCTCACGTGCAACGAGTTCTGCAATACTTCACATCATTAGTTCCCGACGAACTCAAGAGCTGTCTGACCGTCGATGACTTGGGTTACGAGACGTACGTCAGAGAAGCGCAGAAACATTTCCAAGAGATTGGAGTGATTTGTAACAAATGGAAGAACTGGTCGACAGAAAACATTATATTAGATGATTCACAAGAAGTACAGACATCTGATCCGAAAATGGTTAACGAGATTAATGGCGATTCAAAAGTGAGACACAATTCAAAAACCAAAGAGTTCTTTGAGGGACCCTTTCTGGCGATGATATTCGATAACTTGGAATACATGGTTGATCTGCCCTATGAAGTCAATCTTCAGGTATATTCAACACTTGTATTATTGATAATATGTATTAAATACTGTAATCCCATTAAAGGTGACGTCTTTGATCTCAAGACTGGCACTGTTTCCAAATTTATATATCAATGAATACCTTTTGGATCCAACCATTCCTTTAGGTATTTATCATTAATTGTTATACACAATGAGTTTTATTAACAAATTGTTTATTGATTGGCATTCAGTTCGCGGAACGCGTTCTCTGTTTTCAATTCTGCATAAACTGGTGGATGAGTTGCAGATATCAGTGCAAGGATTGAATGGACTGAGAGATAGACTGCAAATCACGAGAAAAGCACTTTTAGGAGAGGCGGACAAAGAAGCCGAAGAAGCGAATCCCGGAAACGACGAGAAGACCACACGAATAATGGAAGCGTTGATCGTAATCGAAGAGTTCTGCAAAGAGTTGGCCGCCGTTTCGTTCGTTAAATATCATAACACTTTTTGATGAGTGTTTTAATGTCTGAATTTTATTCAACAAATTTTATGTTAAAAATACGAAATACATTATCATTAAAACCGGTATAAAAACAGTAAATATATTGCAAATTATTGAGTCATTAATTAGTTTTTTAAAAACTCGCAAATATTTTATAATTAAATTTTTAAGTTATTTTTTAAATTCTATTAAAATATCAATAAAAATCATATTTAAATCTCGTTTTCCGCGAAGACTTAATAATTAATTAACTCTTTAATCAATTCATAGATTTATAACGACTTATAAACGCGTTTCTCATTTTTCTATGTATTTTATATTTAACGCTCTCTTAAGGACTTGTTTTGCTTTTGATTGCATTGAATCATAAGATTCTGAACGGCGGTGAGAGTCGACTGTTCGTTCTGACCAGTGATCAGATGCCTGTCGACCACAACATGCACTTCGTCGACGTGATCCGGATTGGTTGAGCTGTAGAGAGCGCCCCTGTCTTTGATCACGTCCTCCGGTATGATCGGCAAAGTGGCGAAGTCTGGATTGCGGGCCAACTCGAACACCGATATGGCTGTCAGTGTGAAGCGACGGAATGACCACACGTTGCCGTCATCGTAGGCCGGGAACAGAGCCGCGACACCCATTCCTATCGCACAAATCACTTCTACCCAAAACAGTACAATCAGTTTAGTAGTCAATCTATGAGTGAATCAACGAATGTATATATGATTCTGGAGGTGACGTACTCTGCTCTTTGACGAAATGCTTCAATACATACGACAGGTCCGAATCGGTGACCAAATCGATAACAGCTCCCGGAGAGTGAGGAATGACAAGACATGAGTATCGATGAGCTGTTGTTTTTGGATAAGCAATCAATTGTTTGGAACCAAATATGAGAAGACCTTTGGAAAGCGATTATAACTTACGGTCGACTGAAGACAAACTGATTGGAGTGGAGAATGATTTGTGTTTGAATTCATTCAACCACTTCCTGTTCTGTTCATCACTTTTAACGAATTCTGCATTTCGGCCCTATTTTTGCGGTTTTCCAATAGATATGCGTTAAAACATTGGACACACAGTCATAATGAATGGTTGGGAACAAATTGAGTGACTATTGGCTGATGGCTTACCGATGGAGTGGCTATTTGTACGTTAAATGTAGTGTTGAGTAGAGAATAGCATTGAATGAAAGACTGGGAAGAGTTGCCTGAGTTTGACATACAATTAGATTCTTATCAATGCTTTACAAACATTACTGTTATGTGTTTTGTACTCATTTGACAGATATTGCCATCAATTACAAGAATCTGATCGCAAAACTGTCAAAAAGCATACCTTCTTTGGCAGAACTCAGGACAATGAGACAATTTAGCCGATTTGTAGTCATTATGGGATCAATTGAACACAAATTAGAGTAAAATTTTGAAAAATTTGAATTTCGAAGAGATTTTATAGAAAATAAGTATCGAAGAAATATTCACTCATTTGTTGTCAAATTTGGATATAATGTCCATAATATGACATAATATGAAATAATGAGTCAATTGGTCTCATCAGTGATGTTAATGACAGACAATCAGTGCATCAGAATATGTATGCGTTGTCTCACAAACGCAAACATCCAATGAATATAATATGTTTAACACAAACTCAGACCTGAGTTGAGACACACTTTAAGTGCATTCACTTTCCATCCAAACCCTAAACCAAAGCCAATACCATATTATCATTGACTGCATTGACTGCCAGAGCTTTTACACCACACTCTCTGTCCCTCTTTTTCTAACTCACAATTGCATTCAATTACAGGTTTTTTTGGCAGTACTTTAAATCATTGGTACATTTTTTGCGATCATAATCTCTAAACTTATTTTTTCATTTCTTTATGTCTTTTGTGTTTTAGTTGTTGTCTTTCGGTGCGATCTCTTTGCCATTCACTGGCAATCCTTTCAATGCATTTCATTTCATTTTACACATTCATATGAGATAAACGTCGGATGAAATGCATCTCATTTTCATCACTCACTCACTTTCGCAGCGATTTATTTGATAATAGTTTATAACTTTTAACTAAAGAGTGGTTTTAAAAATGGGAACGGGAGGGGAGGGCAGGAGACGAGATGTACGAGTACTAAAAGGCACCGGAAATACATCAAACTTATAAATCATTTAATTACTGTCTTATCAACACATTTAGCCGCAGACACACACATCGTGTCTCCTTATTATCTAATCTTTGATATAAATTGGTATAAAAATGATATAAAGAAAGCAAATATTTTTAAATAGTAGACACAAAAAGCTTATATTAATTATGCATTAATTAATGAATAATTAATAGATTCGCAGAACATTATCTAATCTTTGATATAAATTGGTATAAAAATGATATAAAGAAAGCAAATATTTTTAAATAGTAGACACAAAAAGCTTATATTAATTATGCATTAATTAATGAATAATTAATAGATTCGCAGAACGAGTGTATGTTTTAAATTAAATGTGAAAACATTTATACCATAAATTATACTTTAATTTGGGGAATAACTAAAACTTTATATTACTTAACATTAATTTTTTTATAACAATAATTAAAAATAAAATATAATGATAGAGATATTGTATGTTTGCACGAATGGATCGGTAGGTCTATTGAACATTGAATTACATTTTTAAAAGACATGCAATAAATAACTGTTTAAAAACCAAATACTTCTGGTGTTATAATTTAATGATAGACTAAACATTATTTAATTAATTAATAGTAAAATAATGTGTTATTTGCGCTCATTTAGCGATTATGTGCAACAATTTGGTCACAAAGTATTTGGTAATATATTTTGACATATAAATGGCTGTTTGTCTCATCGATATTACATAATCTTCGAGTTGAGGGTTAGTTCTTATAAGTTGTTATCACGAAGAATATACACCTGTATTAATACTTCTACTCTATTTCACGCTAATTACAGTTTATCTTCATTATCTAATCTTTGATATAAATTGGTATAAAAATGATATAAAGAAAGCAAATATTTTTAAATAGTAGACACAAAAAGCTTATATTAATTATGCATTAATTAATGAATAATTAATAGATTCGCAGAACTAGTGTATGTTTTAAATTAAATGTGAATACATTTATACCATAAATTATACGTTAATTTAGGGAATAACTAAAACTTTATATTACTTAACATTAATTTTTTTATAACAATAATTAAAAATAAAATATAATGATAGAGATATTGTATGTTTGCACGAATGGATCGGTAGGTCTATTGAACATTTTTAAAAGACATGCAATAAATAACTGTTTAAAAACCAAATACTTCTGGTGTTATAATTTAATGATAGACTAAACATTATTTAATTAATTAATAGCAAAATAATGTGTTATTTGCGCTCATTTAGCGATTATGTGCAACAATTTGGTCACAAAGTATTTGGTAATATATTTTGACATATAAATAGCTGTTTGTCTCATCGATATTACATAATCTTCGAGTTGAGGGTTAGTTCTTATAAGTTGTTATCACGAAGAATATACACCTGTATTAATACTTCTACTCTATTTCACGCTAATTACAGTTTATCTTCAAATGAAATGTTTGTCTATAAATATGATCCGCAAAGAAATGTGAGCACAGATTAGGTGAGAGAGGAATACGTGCCGTACTATTGATTGCCATAATATAAATGTATCGCAAGAATCCGTCCGTTAATACAATTAAATAATAATAAGTGAATTGTTTTTGTTAACAGATAAACAGTGCGATACCATCGGCTGAAATGCAGTTATTGGGGCTCACAATGAGCCTCACATACGACATGTCAAACCAATGTTAAACATTTGATTAGATTTAACTCTAATAAACAGTTGCGGAGCCAATGCCTAAACACTCCCTGCGCTAAACGATACGGACGTATGGCTTGTGTTTTGAAAGTACAGGTAAATTAAAGCACCCGTTAATATGTGTGGGAAAAGGAGGTCATTATTATAATAGTATTGCTTAACGGGAAATGTAAGCATTGCTTAGGAAACCAGTCGCTAATGCTATTAAAATATATGCCATAATTACGAAATCAATTGACGACTCCCTCTCATCAGCCAATCGTCTCTTTAACTCTCGTTTTGCGTTCAGTTTTACGCGTTTTCCAGAAATTCGGTTCAAATTATTTCAAATATTTTACAAGTTTTTGTTTCTTTCTTTTGCGGAGCGAAGGACTGACCAAAAAGAAGTCCAATCACTCGCTTTGCGGCTATGAATGTGATTCAGGAATACGTGAATTTGTGTATAAAGTGTAACCTTTTTATTCTTTGATTTGTTTTTTGATTAAGAAATACCTGTTATTATATGAGACCAGAAATGAGAAACTTTCTGAATCGTGCAAACAGAGGGACAGCCATTGGTTTACATGGTTTACCTGTTGGAACACATATTGGCTTCGATGGCCACCCGGTGTATGCATAGCATAGCGTGTATGCAATGTATGCCATATATACCTGTGCTTCAAAATCCGGCTCTGAAAGTGTTTGGGCTTTTGGATGTCTGGGGGATGTCATCGACCGAAGACAATGAGATCCATTCAATTCAATGAGTCTATAAGTGTTGTCTTCACTCTTGTGGCTCAGGCTCTGAGGTTTACCTCTAATTAACGCTCAGTACTCAGTGTCTGTCTCTCGCATTCAGACTCCCAGACAAGACTATAACATAAGTTTGAATCTCAAAATATCGGATGGCATTGAAAAATATGTTTTGGTTCAAAAATAAATGTGATTTGAAAAACTATTTTCTTTATTCAAATTCTAAGGGAATATTACATTCAATTACAGAATTGTTTTTGTCGTTTATATTGAATGCATTTTCCACTACGAAAAGCAAATCACAATTAAACTAATGGCTAATTAACCGAAATAAGTGTTTGAAATCAAGTCTATAATCGAGTAATACATCAAATATAGATCAAAGAGTGGTTTTGTGTGAACCGTATGTTTGGATACATTTGTTAGTGGAATGCAATTCAATTTAAATGCTGTGATGAATGAAACCTAATAGTTATTGATAATGTATTTTCAAATATAGATTGCCTTTCAATCGATACAAATTCACTTTTGTATTGAAAAACTCGTGCTTTTGAGTGAAAAAATAGAAAAAGGGGTTAAAATGGTTTGAAATGGACAACAGGTTTGTTATTGTATTTGAATTATAGATATAATCATAGAGTGAGTGGAAGAACAGTGAGAGAGAAATGTGACACAAATTATACAATAAGTTTGTAATACATATTATATAATATTGTATTTTGTAATATTGTTGTTATGTTTTGTTTGACAACAAGTTATTGATATTTATTGGTAAATAAGAGTACAGAATATTTTTGATAGTAATGTAAGAATTGTATGAAATGTTTGTCACAAACTTATAATTCATTGGTTTTGCTGTAGTCTTCGGCAGATGTTTAGCCTCTTTTCGTTTAGTGAACAAAAGCAGAGACTTATTAATGATATAACAGAGAAGTCACGCAACAAACTAGAAGTTAAGTACACATCAAATGTAAGTCATATAAGTATTGCTAAATAATATTCAATCTTTTGCTTTACTTTTTCTGACCATTTCTTCACTCAAATTGTGTTAACATTTAAATTCAATAATAATTTCGGATATATTTTGCTCACAAAAAACAAAATCAAAGCCAATATACATATAAAAGTGAAAAAATGTTTTAAATAATGTATTATTAATAACAACCGATCAAACAGTTTGCCATCAAAACAATTCAATTTAAATAATACTAAAAAAATAAATGAATTTCTAATTCAATTACAATTATAATAATAATACAAAATAAGAAATTTGAATGAAATTTGTTTGAAACGAAATTCTCTATCAATTAATTACAATATTTTTCATAAGAAAACGTCGAGAAGAATGAGAAACAAAAGAAGAGATAATTATAATAATTAATAATTGAATTAAAACTTGAATTAAGCGGTGGTCTCGACGGCGGCCGGAGTCTCCTCCTGTTGGGCGGCCTTTCCGTTGTTCGAGCCGTTGGTCTCGTCGGCCACGGCTTCGGCGTCCAGTTTGGCCTTCTTTGGGGTGATGTCAGTGCTGTCGGGAGCGTCGCCGCCCTCTTCACCGCCCGTCGACTTCCGTTTGTTGGATCCGTTCTCCACATTGTTGTCGCCGTTCTTGTTGTCTGCAAAACGACAGTCAGTTTTCAATGCATTCATTGGTTATAACAATAATCGCAATTCAATGGATAGTGACCTCCATTTGCGTCAGACTTGAGCTCATCGTTAGAGCCGTTCTCTGAGTTCTCGACCGGTTTTGAGTCAACACTAGTGCTGTCCGACGACTCACTGTTGCTCTCCTTCTCCACCGCTTCCTTCACTTCCTATCCATTCAGACATTCATTCAATTAATACAAAACAATTCACACAATAATTAACACTAAAACCAAATCAGTGTTCAATCAATGAATGCATGGATTGTCACAAATGGCGACAATGGCTTACCTCCGGGTCGACAGCGGTGGCCGCGTCCACGGCGTCGGTCGACGACTCGATGATGTCGTCCACCTTCTTGTCGGTCTCAGCGCTCGCGTCCGCGCCTTCGGTACTAAAACACACCAAACAATGAGTGAATGCATTGAAAGCCATTCAACGCCGCGATTGAGCACAACGTTGACACCCAATGCTGGGATCAGTTGGTGGTGACACTTACCTGGTTCTGGATCTGGTGGCGGGCATTGTGTCACTGATTAGATGATAGTATCAATTGAATGGTAAGTGAATCGAGAAGTGAATCAAAAGCGAGGCTTTGAGTGAAAAACCGGCAAAAAAGGCGATTAAGAGTTGCTTTGAATGAATGAGTGCTTCGAATGCAATACTAATGCCTCTAAAACACAGAATACCACTCAATGTCTCCCAACTTTCAGACAATAGCCTCACGTGACTAACGCTCAGCCAATCAGAGTCGACGCCGCAAATGGTGTACGTGTAGTGAAGTGTAGTGAAGGCCTATTCAACGCCACAACCGGTCATACAATACGCGCGACAATTGGTTCGAATCCAACGCCTTTCGCAACGCAACGAATCGACACTAAAATGCGACGTAATTTGTGTCGCGTAGACAAAGCGCCGCCCTTTATATGAGCGCCAATACTGTGTCGGCTGTGCTGTCAGTGGCTTATAGTCTGTTCACTGCCTTTACATTCAACTCGTTTTTTACAGACAATTCAACTCTTACTCGACTGCGCCGTACAATACAGTCAACGTCTGTACAATACGCGCGTTCCAGACATACAGTCAACGCTCGCTATTATTAGCCAATGTTATACATATATTGAGTGAAAGCGTGAATAGACATAAAAAACCTATTTTCGTGTATCGTTTGTATCGCTCGCAGTGTATGAATGAATGTGTGGTACGGTTGAAAATGCCTACTAGGCATTATGCCCACTGGGCATATGCCTAGGCATAAATGCCCGGCATTTTGGGCATATATATTTTATGCCCAGTTGGGCATAAAATTCGGGGGGCGAATTGGGGG